CTCCCTGTAGATGGTTTCAGCCCCACAGCTCAAATGAAAATTAGGCAACTTGCCATCTTAATTGTCCAAGTGAAATTTCAGTAGGGGTGATGATTTTGTGGTGCTTTAAGGTCTAACAAACATTCACCCTTGATAAAAGATCAATGACAACTGAATTCTTTTGTACTTTCTTTGGCTTCTCTGTTATCTAACAATTTAAAACTAAGGGCATGCCACTGTGACTTACACCACTCCAATGGATGTTGCAATTTTTTACCAAGGAACTGCATGCTTTCAGTTCTCAAGTTTCTCAGGCATGGAATAGTGTGATCTAAGGATAATGCACCAGCTTGCTCAGGCTTCTAACAATGCCACTTAACACCCTGACCTAAACCAATAATTTCTCAAGTAGAAGTTTGGTAAATGAAAATAAATCACACCCTAGGGCCTGAACAGAGCCAGTATTACTTCCCAAAGAATATAATCTCCTCTTAAGCATTAGAGAAAACCGTATTTTAAATCCTATGTTGGGTTTCCAATTAGTACTTTTATAAAAATATGAACACTCTTGTGGAGTACATTTCTCAACAAGAGCACCAAACTTTTATAAACTGTTTAGCTACTATGTGATAGAGAATAGAAGCAGATACGCACCAGTCTTATTCTGAATAATAAATTACCAAATAAGCTACGAGCCTGAAAAATTAGGAGTCCAGAACCCCCAGCTCTTCTTTACTGACTGGCCAGTGTCATCTACATGCTGTCATTCTGCGAGAGCAGGATTGAGCAGAAGTCAACAACCTTGACTTTATGACCATCTGCTTGAAAGTCAGTGTATTAGAAACTTTCACCCTTTCTCAGTTGCTTTCCAAGTAGAAAAGATTCAAATGTGTCTGAAAAAAGGAATTATGGTCCAAGTATTAAGTATAGACACACCTTTTTTGGGTTCCCAAAGGAGGAAAATTATTCTGGAATTTCCTCAAAGGTAAGATTTACTTGTGAAATATTGAGATCTTCTCTTATATAAATTGAAATGAAAGAAATAGACCAAATGAAGGACATCAGAGTTTGAAAAATCATAGGCTCCTTCTTTTTCCTTTGGAAAATACCTTTCAGTTTTAATTTTCTTATTTTTGCTTTAGTATTATTATCCTCATGAATACTAATGAACAATATATTCATTTACTAGCAATTAACAAATATTTTCTCAGAACAGTGAACATGCCAGACCCTGGTGTAGATGCTATTGTAGCTGTATAGAAACTGATGGTAATAATAATGATGAATAGCTAATAATAATAATAATAATAATAATAATGTGGTCTCACAAAAGTACATTTGTCAACAACTCCACTAACCAAAATCTGCTAGAATTTGTTTCATCATTATTATTATTTAAAAATAAAGTGGAATTTGGCCAGGAAGTGAAGGCTATCAGGAATTCAGAGACCCAAAGTAATTAGAGCTTCTCACTTTTCCTATCATAACTGTCTTGAGGTTGCTCATAATCAATCCAGTGTTATATGCCTCAACCACAGTGAAATAACTCCTAGGTGTCCCAAATATAGATTGAGAAGAGCTCGAAGCATCTGAAGAACATTGATCCACATCAATATTTGGTGGTCAGTAACTAGACTGCTGCCCTATAGAAAATTCTTCATCCACAGGTCTTTAATCAACAGTGTTAACGTAGGGTGGTCTATATGAGCCTGGATTAAACAGAAAGTTTGGTTAGTAAGAAGCAACCTGTAGAGGAAAGCTTGCTTGAGGTATTGCTACTGCATATGGGATCTTGTAGCTGTCACACAAATGCTGGCCTGACCATAACTTCCACCCTCTGTTATGGAAGACAGACACTGCTGATATGGGTGAAGAAGTGGAAGAAACGGCAGGTAAAAATACATATGGATAAATTATGTACATACCTACCACACCTTCTATGCTAGAAGAATTTTAAGAGATGTTTAGACTCAACGTTTACTGAACTCCAATTAGCAAGACATCATGCTATCATGAACACCCAACTAGCCAAGACAAACACATTGTCAAGGTCACACCCTAGATCATTTCCGTGATCTGAGCATCTTCTCTCAATTATTTGTTTATTCATGATGAATACTACTCAACGCTTTCTCAGTGAATAATATTAAATAGTTTTCAGTTTGAAAGGCTGTATTTTGAAAACCCTACCAATCTAGTTTAAAGTTTCTCACATCTTCGTATTTAGAAACATTAAATGAAGAAGTTTTACTTGTTTTGCTAATTAAAGCTAAACTTCACGTTGACCTTCCATCAGCCCCTTGTTCAGCAAACTCCCTTTCTGCAAAGATCTAATTAAAGCATTACCAAGGAAAACATCTGGCTCTACTGATTTAACGTGTTACTTGACATGCCATTTTAATATCATTTTTCACCATGGCATTAAGAACAGGAACAAAAATGTGAATCAGTTTCCCTGTCTTTTTCTGCATATCATAATGTCTCTCAAGGACACACATTTAGTATTTTCAAATAGCACAGTAAAAGTCATTGAAAACTATATGCTAAAAGTGCCTTACCCTCTCAAGTTCCCAAAGATTTGTCTCCAAAAGATCAGGTTGAAGTGCTCACAGCGGAATCTCAGCAAAGTCACTCTTGTGTTGCTAGTCTGAACACTTCTCTGATGGTACAGGAATTTAAACTCTGCCACAGCTCCTCAGAGCCAATCAGCCTCGGGCTGGGGGTGACTGACATCACAGGTGTCGCTGGGACCCAGGACACCCACGCTTCCTCCAGCTGGCACAGCCAGGTTTTCCCTAAAAAGCTCTTGTGGTTCCCAAATGACTAGACTAGTTTCCATTAAATTGAAGATCTTCCGAAAGCTTTATTTTGATTTCTAAATATATGTCATTCACATCTATGCAGGATTATGAACATTATAAACAATGACAATGCCTTCCACCCACAGACATATCCCAGCAGCCCCAAGGATGGGAAAAAGAGGTCAGAGATGGGCAGAAAGTTTCCTGTTAGTGTACACTTCCAGGTAGCACATGAGGGAAGCTTCTAAAATACTAGATTTTCTCAAATTGTTAGTGCTAAAATATTTATTTCTTGTCTTTTCTTCTTTTAACACCCTCTATTATTATATCCCTTCTCTCACACCTTACTGCCCTCTTACACATGCAAAGGCCCCAAATTCTTACTAATTTAAGGAAGTACCCGCTTACACAATTCTATGGTGATTGAGAATGTTAAAGTTCTTTATTTAATTAACTTTGGCTTTTAGAAAAAAATATATATATATATATATTATTTATCTCTACTTCCAGCTGCTGACCACCTTTTTGTGACTCTTTGAAACAAGAATTGGATTAAGGAGAAAATGAGGTGAAGCCAATTTTCAAGAGACTGGATGCCATCACCAAAAATGTAATTACATGAATAAAATGACATTTACCAGAAGTCCTCAGGAAGTGTACCGAAGGCTGCTAGAGGGATCTGGAGGTGGTATTGGCACCTCCCCAAGAGTATGGTTAAGTAACAATAAGATGACCACTGAACAAACATTTAAAGAATATAAGCCACCGCCCTTCAATTTCCTCAAGGGTAGGAAGGCTTACTTTGCTGGTATCTACCCAGTTCCCTGGTAGCTAGGGCATTTCTTGGGCCATAATAAGTACTTTTTGAATGACTGCATGGGTTGGTTTGAAAGTGAACCAAGTTATTAGCGTATGTGTGGTACACACACGACTCACTCTCGCTTTGTAAGAGGTTATGTTTGTTCAGAATTTTAGTTCATGCTCCTAACAACCTAAACCTAGAAAATTAGGGTGCCAAATTTATCCAGGAAATAAATGTCAAATGTGTGAGTTATTAGCATCCTCAGTGGACTGACATGGAGGAAGGAGGCAGGAAATGAGGAGCAAGAAATCTATGTTCACAGAGGGTTCATTAGAAGGCCAAAGCTCATGTGGGGAAGCTGTAAACTTCCTGTGCTGTGTCCTGGTTCTGAATTACACTCCCTGGTGGTTTCATGGGCCTTGACAGAGGTCTAGCTTAGATGAACCTTATAATCTTATGTCAGAGTGGATTCTGGGAAAATATGGCTGGAGGGTATCCCAAGACATTGTTTTAGATCTTGGCGAATTCCTACAGAAAAACAGAAGAGCATGTAGATAACAAAATTTAAAGCTATAGACAATATTTATAACAGAACTAGGTGTTTATTGACCTATTTCTATATTAAAATCCACATGGTATCTTGTATCATAAAGCAACGAGCATGTTCTCATCTCTCATAGGAGAATCTGCAGTGGTCAGGGAATACGCCGAGGCGGAACGTGCATGGTGCTTCCCTCTCAGGGTCATCTGGAAGCTCAGCAGGAGCTGTTCCTCTGAGCACTTCATTTCTTTATGGGGCCTCTCCTTAACACCCGGCCTTCTTACAGAGTAGCGGCTGGACCCAAGGACTCCCCGGAATGTCACTCTTCCCACATTCTATTGGTCAAATCAGAGAGCGGGTCACCCCAGATTTAGAAGGAAAAATGGTCTTCACTTCTTGATGTGAGCTGGCATGCATTATACAGAGCAGAAGAAATGTTGAGGTCATTTTTGGAAATTAGCTAGCTCACCCTACACGTCAAGTCATACTTCCAAGCCCCAAACGAGGTGGCTGGAGACCAACCATCCACTGCCACAAGACTGCCAGTGTCCAGACGGGAAAAGGCAGAGTGAAGGAACAGATATCTGATGAATATGAAAGCAAGAGAGCCCCAGTGTGGCCATTAATTATTGCTGCTCTCTATCAATGGCACATAATGATGCCTGAAGGATCTGGAGCAGACAGGCCTCCAAGCAGTCACAAAACTAATCCACCGCAGGTTTGCCTTCTGGGCCAGGCCCACGTAGAAGAACAACTTCTAAGAGTGGAATAAAAAGTGCTCTGGATATGGATAGCAGAGTAGGTACAAGTGTGGGAGAAGAGACCATATCCAAGAAATCTGCAAAAGAGCGCTGCTGTATTTTTAATATAATATGAAAACAATGAAAAAGGAAGCTATATGACACCAGGAAATTATTCTCAACTGCACATTTCCAAAATTCTAGTAAAACCAATTTCATATAAAACAAAACCAAAAAAAAAAAAAAGCTGAAGGGTCTCATAGAAGCAGAATAATAACCTAATAGACAACAAAAGTAAGCTGAAAGATATAATTAAAGTATAAATTAAAACCATACCCAGAAATGAGGTATAAAATATCAGGAAAAAAATGATGAAATAAATTGAAAAAATAATTGTGGAAATAAAGCACAGGAGGGAATAGATATTACAAATAATTCTGTAAGAGAAGTAGAAGTCAAAAAGAGAAATTTTTTTTTGCTTTTTGTTTGATGTTTCTGTAGAACTAGAGATTGAACCCAGGATCTTTGCACTGAGATATCTCCACAATCATTTGTATTTTAATTTTTCATTTTGAGACAAGATCGTGTTAAGTCACTAAGTTGTAAGGGCTGGATTCAAACTTCTGATTCTCCTGCCTTGGCCTCTCAGAGTGATAGGGTTTTAGGCATGTACTACCATGCTCAGCTAAGAGGAAAATGTTTTAAACTTAAATAACAAAGAAGAAAGAAAAATATTCAGGAGAAACTGGCATATATTGAAGATGGAGCAATGAGACCCAATTTACAAATAACAGGAGTCTGGAAGGAGATAACAAAAGTAAAAGAACAGCAGAAATACTAAAAACAAACAACTCAAATTTCTCTGAATTGTTTATTAAATTTAATTTTTTTCTTTTGTCTTTTTAAGACAAGGTCTCACTATGCAGCTCAGGCTGGCCTTGAACTCATTTTGTAGCCCAGGCTGGCCTTGAACTGAGTGATCCTCCTGTCTCAGCCTCGCAAGTGCTGGGATTACAGGCGTGGGCCACCATGCCCTGCTGAAATTCATATTTAAAGAGCTTGATATGTCCCTGAAAATTTGCTCCCAGAAAGACCAACCCCAAGATATGCTAGTGAAATTGCTAGATTTTAAAGATAAATAAAAAATCATTTGGTCATCTACTCAAAAGCAGCAAGTGATTCATAATAGAAATATAATTAGATCATCATATTTTGTTGACATCAGTGCTTTACTCCAGAGACAATGTTATAATATATTTAAGACATTCACTATAAGAAAATGTGACCCAAGAATTTCACAATGTTATAACTGACTTTCAAGTATAAAAGGCTCCAGTAAATGCTTATCAACCTGATAGAATGCAAGGATATTTTCTCCAACCTTTTCTGGGAAGTCTAGAATGAACTTAACACAACTAAAATAACTAGAGAGACATTGTCACAAGAATAGGTAGCCAGGGGCTGGGGATTTAGCTCAGTGGCACAGCGCCTGCCTGGCAAGCGCAAGGTTGTGAGTTTGATTCCTGGTACCGGAAAAAAGACAAAAAAACAAAACAAAACAGAAAGAATAGGTAGTAAACATTAAACATAAGTGTAGAAACAAAGTTAAATAAGCCTAAAGGGAAAGTGTCTACAATGGCTACATAGCACAGATCCGGCTTAATGGTTTGAAAGACAGGAAAATGAAAAGCAGGTATGCAAAAAATCTCTGCTGCTCCTTACAGTTATACTGGTGATGGTAATATTTCTGCTTTTCTGAGAATGTTGTGTGTGTGATATGGGATAAAGGAAGTGAGTAATTTTAAATTATTCAATTCCTTTTGACCCATATGTCCAGGCATAGCACATCAGTGGCTGCTTAGCTTGCAGACAGCCAACTCGGCAGACAGGTGCCTCCTACTGAAAGAACACAGAGCAAACTGTAGTCCATTAAAGGGTGCACTTAACAGATAAAAACTTCAGGGTTCACTTACCGAGCTGTAGGAAATACAGTAATGCCTACAAGTACTTCTCTCTATAAACCATCCAGCTCTCAGACAAAAGCATTCAGCAAAATTTTGCTTCAGTTCCCAAACTGAAGAGACAGACACAAGCATGAGCCATCTTCCCCACACAAACACAAATGTAGCCAACTTCCCTAAACTGTAAAACAAACGAAGTTCTTAAACTGAGGTACCACTATACAAGTATGGTACTGTAATGGAACGATTTTGAATGGAACTATGTATATAACTAGTAAAGACTAGAATGCAGGAAAATATAATTTAATTATCCCAGGTTCTTTAACAGATAAAGTATTTGAAAAAGGAAAAAAGGAACGGAAGTATAGCTTAAGAGGTTTTGCTATTCAAAATAGATAGTTATCTTTTTAAATGGGCAAGACTAAATTATGGTGTCAGGGTTATACACTTGAGTGACAGAACTGTGAAGTCAAGGAAGTGGTTTCCATAGATTTCAGGATAATTGTAACTCTTTTGGGAAATGAGAGTGTTCGTCTGGGAGGGAGTAGCGAAACAGCCTCAGGGACTGTATCTGAAGTTATTTTGTAAGAAAGCTTTTAAGTACATTATTTAGAAGTTGTCACATATCTCATATTTTTAAATCTATGAGTTTATGCATTCATAATAATACCAATTGTTAGATGTTGCAAAAATGACTAAGCTAAGGTTAATTGGAATTAGAGAAAAATTAGAAGATGGCATGAATGCCACAAAAAATCTGTTAACAGGAATCCTAGCATGAGACTTCCAAAGCATGGGGAAAGGATTCAACATACA